AATTTTGCATATCGCAAAAACCGAATTCAATAGTTGTTTTATTATACATTTGAAAAATAATAAACATAGTATTTTAATATTTTAATTTTTTTGCGATATGCAAAATTATCAAGGTCTCGGCAAGCGTTATATTCAATATGATTTCTGGCAAAGCTGTTCAAGTAAAACGTTTCTATAAACAAGTCTCCGGAAGTCCAACAGTTAAATTAATTACAAATATAGAAGAAACATATTATCGTTAAGATGTTAACGTATTAAAATGTTTACTTGTTAAAGTAAACATTACAATTATGAAATGTACATTCATTTGAAAATTGAAATGTACACTCATTTGAAATGTACACTCATTCATCCTCACGCAACCTACACAAAATTCAGTTATCTGCTAGCAGATAACTGAGTTATCTGCTAGCAGATAACTGAATTTTGTGTAGGTTGCGATTTAACTGTAAGCTCTTAGCCAATCAAATTGCTTTTACCAACTACAATGTATAATAATTGTTATTATACATTTAATATGTATTCTCGTTTCTAATTGGTCAGAAAGCACCTGCTAATTTTCAGTATTCGGCATTTATTACGTATTTTCCGTCGATGACGTCATCAGCGTCCAATAATTGTTTTTTTGGATCGAACTTGCATCCAAAATAAAAATTATTGTACTCTCTCGTGCCCAAACCCTTGCGCGGCCAAAAGCTTGAACCTATAACCGCGCGAAAAAAACAAACAAACAATGGCCTACAGCAGATTTGCTTCACTAAATGAAAGTGAACTCTCCAAATTATTGGCAGATAAGGATAGTGAAAGCACGAAAAAAGCCACAAAGGGGTAAATAGAAGTAGAATATTTAGCTGGCCTTTGACTTTGTGCAAGGTGTTTGATATTTGAATTGTACTTTTCCTACCTCATGAATAGGAATCGTTTTATACGTTTCTCATGTCTTTAAATGTATAATAAAACAATTATTGGATTCGGCTTTCGCATGATATCAAGAATTATTCAGACCTCGGTCTATGTTATCCGCCTCAGCTTCGCTTCGGCATATGACATTGACCTCGGTCTGAATAATTCTTGATATCATGCTCAGCCTCATCCAATAATTGCTTATTAATTATTAATTAGTTATTATTAGTTAATTAGGTTTTGAATCGACAGTTTCAGGTAGTTCAGAAAATGCCATATTTAAATGGATATGACAATAAAAATTAACTTTGTCGTATTTGAAAGAACTTTTAAAGTTATATATGAGTAAACTTGTTAAAACTTCTTGTTAAAGTTTCTTAATTAAAATGTTGCGAGTTAATTGAGTACTAAAAAGACGTCGGAAAATCGAGTTTCATATTGATAATGACATGAGTGGTTTTCAAGATATAAAAATTTCGCTTTTTATCCTGCTTGTGACGTATGCATATCGAATGTATATCCAAGATGGCGGAATGCACGCTGCTTTTGATCAAAATAAGTCGATTCATTTCGAAAACCAAGCAAGATACGGAATAATTGTAAAAGAAGTTTATATATCTTTTTAAATGTTCTTTCAAATAAGACAAACTTAATTTATATTGCCATATTTCAATAGGCATTTCTAAATTGAGAAAGTGTTGATGCATTACGTATGTCTACGTCTAAGGAGTTGCAATCACTAGCAGCGAGAAAAGAAAAAGAGCGTTTACCAGATTTGGTGCTTACTCTAGGCAGTACTAGATTATTGTTAGTTGATCCTCGTGTGTTTTGGCAATGTACATTTTTGAAAGGGGTTAATAAGTTCTTCATATAACCAGGACATAAGTTCTTTAATAATTTAAAAACAAGAAGGCAATGGAAATATTTGATGCGTTTACCTATGGGTAACCAACCAAGCTGTAGAAACAACGGTAATGAATGTGCTTTCCTGTCAGTATCAAGGATTAACCTTGCTGAAATTGTTTCACGATTACATGAGTTCAAATTTCAGCTCAAACCAAGGATGAAATCTCGGCCCTGGGCTGAACAATCAAGTCTCAAAATAGAGCTATTTTGCTTCTGTGAAGAATTTAAAGTGTTGTTTACTGTAAATGATTGATTAAACACCACTCAGCCAATAAGCGCCGCTCTTGAGTAAGTGCCGCTCTTTTGCCGAAAACAGTTTAAATTATGTCCCGCTTTCAAATTTGCACTATATTCCTTGATTTTATTTAGTAAATTGCCTATATTATGTGCTTCCTTTATTCATTATATAATCAATACATGTTTCCCCTGCTTTTGCATTAGAAATAGTACAGAGAAAAATAAAGCTACTCATAAAAGGATTGTTTTTTAAATCAGGGCTGAGAAATTTCCAGTTGATTACATGACGATTTTCAGCCTGGGCTAAAACTCATCCTGGACTGAAATTTTTGTCATGTAATCGCTTGCTGTGTTTTAATAAGATTTTATCTTTAGGCCAGCCTGAAATGTCAGCCCAGGAAACCAGGCTGAAACTCAGGCCTGGCTAAGGGGCTGTTTATATGGTCGCGCTTACCTGGGATACAATGAAGTGTGACGTATTGAAATACGTGTTTTAGCCCTAAACAAAAGTTAGATCCCTTTAAATATTGTTTAAACGAAATTAGGAAAGTGCTAGAAGTTACGTAGTGGAAGAAGACGATTTTAAAATAACATTGAACAACATTTGTTTTTTGTCTAAAACATGGAATTTCATACAATTTGTAACAAGCAATTTTGTTAGATCATTAACTGCGACTTATTTCAATTTCTCAAAATACGTCACACTGCATTGAATCCTGGGTAAGCGGGACCATACAAACAGTCCTTAAGGTAATTCCGCAGTAATTGTTCCCGAAATGAGAACGTGCTGAAACTTCCCAGGCATGGAGTTTATGATACACTTAAAGTAAAGTCACACAAAAAAGTCGGGATCACCGAACTCGTTAAGAAGATATGACAATCACAATATACCACCTTTACCCAATATGGCGCCATCTTGACGCTCATTACGAGTAACAGCAAAATCACAACAGCCCGATATTTATTGACGTTTTTAGCGCGGATTTTGCTTTGGTAAACCTATCTTGTAATCATTTTTGAAAAAATATCGTGTTTTGAGCAAAATGAAACTATTAACGAGTACAATTCTGATCCACAAATGTCTTTTCCACATTTCTTTACATATCTTTCTTTGAGAACATGCATTGATAAAACATTTTTTTCAAGATCCATGCAGCAATTATTTTTCTTTTAATTTCGGATATGAAACGTAAAATGCATGAGAGGAATAACAATTTCAAACGAATTTCGACTTTTGAAGCTGATTTTAACGCGGTAAAGGTAAGAGATTTTGTATTTTATAATTTTGTCTCTAATATATATAATATATAACCATGGTTTTCAGTTTCTCCGTGTTTTATACTACCATCCTGTGCTGTCGTTTTCTGACCACTTCAACACTGGTTGCAAATCATCATTCAGTTTATGTTCCACATCCTGTAAGTTATATCCACATATTGTGTCGCGTCATGAGTAAATCCATTTACCGAGTCAAAACCCGAGTCAGTCCCGAGCCCGAGTCAAACGCCCGGAGTCGGGTAAAAAAAAGACGAAAGTGAAGACAATTCACAGTCGAGTAGGGTTAGGAATAGGTTTAGGGTACTAAGTCATTTTACCGACAAAGATAGTTAAACAATGACTCGGACATTTGACTCGAACTCGGATTTGAGTCGGTCAGTAACCGACAAACTCCGAAAATGAATAAAATTCACAGTTGAGTAAGGTAAGGGTAAGTTAGGAGTGGGATTATGGTTAGGATTAGGGTACTAATGCACCTATCATTGTTTTCCCCCTGAGGGGGGGGGGGGGGGGGGGGG